AGGTCACAGTGGTTTTTAGAGTTCCCTTTCTGATCCATGTTGCAGTTTTCCCATCAGGCCTTTTGGTAGCTCTTCAGATCTGGTCCTTGGCTCTTGGGCAACTCTTCTGCTAGGTCAACTGCATGTTGTACCTGTGACATAGAAAGAACATCAATTTGTAAATTCTAGAAAATATATACCCTTGTAGCAGCAGCCTGAATGTGTAGCTGATAACTTGTTAAATTGGACATGCTTTCTCATTCAAAGATCTTTTGACCATGTTTGTCCATGATTGGGAGTTGACTCAGTTGACACAACAACTATTCAGAGCTGCAAATGAGGCAAGAAGTACCGAAATAGGCAGTTCCCACCCAAAAAACTGTGCTGTGAAGACTGTTTTAGAAACGATGATATTTGGTGAAATAATCATGATTCCCACAAAGCATTATGAGAAGCATATTTAATATTTTTGCATTGGCCAGGGACTGAACTGCTTGGCAAGCAGCTATGCTCTCCACTGTACCACCAATGCTTGTCCAGTGGACTTTCACAGAACATCTGATCACACATCTGGTTGGATTCTTCAGTTCAGGGAAATGTAAATAACACTGCAGTGGTGCTGGTGCTCCTTTCCATTTAGTGATGATTAGACCACCTTGTTATCTCCATGAATATGAATCATGAAAGTAAAGCTGGCTGTCCATGGTCTCATCTAAATTGACATGTACACACAGGTTTGACTGAGTATTAGTCAAAAAGCAATTGAATTAAAAATGAATTATTCCTCAGGTACATCATCAAAAATAGATGCTGTAACTAAAACACAAATAGTATACCTCTGTTAAAATGTCTAATGAGCAACAGCAAACTTGTTCCTTTCCTCTCAAACATCTTTGGTAAGTCAGCCTAATTATTGGATAAATAATTGTATACTGTACTGTTAAAATAGTACAGTATGTCATCTATGACCATACCTTACTTTTTATGTAACGCCTGTAAAGAATATTGAAAACACAGCTATATAACTGCTTTGCATACTGTTTTGCAGTATTCCTTTCTGCAAATCAGCTAATAACTCTATAAATGTACACATAAAGAGACATTTATGCTCCACAGATGACCAAATTAAGCTTGAATGGAAAAGGGTTCAGTGCTGGAAGCCTTTCAACAGTCATCTCTGGTGCCACCTGGTGGTCAAAAGTAGGAATACTATCTTAAGCAACTGCTTTATCATTATTGTCCACTGTGTGGAGTTGGCAGCTTCCTTAACCTCTGATTACCTTGCATACACACACCTGTACATACATTATATATATATATTTTTTGTAAAGCCTCTTTCTTTTAAATCATGTATACATTTAATGTTTTTTATCTTCATTTTCATTTTCTTTTTATATTAACCTCTTAATGTGCTATATGAAAATAATTTCTTTTAATTATATTTATAATACACCCATTTTCTTTCACTCAAAAACATTGTGGTTAATATCATATGACAGTTCTGTTTATATGGGGCTGTTGTTGTGATGCTTTTATGTGTATTTCTTGGGGTGAAAAGATGATTATTTTTTATCAATAATTTGGATAAACTTTCCTTGTTTGAACATGTGTGTGCCATGGTGTGGTCTCCCTTTGTACAGTAGGTGTCTGATGTTTGTAAACAGAAAAAAACCCATTACATTTAATAATGTATAACACAATCGTATTAGCTCTGCTTGTGCTGTGAGGTCCCTATCTCCACATGCCATTAACCATGGGGCCTAAGCTTCAAACAGACCATCACTACTCTCTGAACTGATTCTGGATCAGTGTGGACCAGTTCTTCCAACAGTCTCCTGATCCCTACTGAATACCACCTAAGCCCAGCTCCGGTGATGAATAGGGTTGGCCGCAAATGCTGTAATAAGGCATCCCGGCGGTATCTTTCAAACGCAACGGTATCAGTTTAAATTCCATCATTAACAATCATTCCATGTCCAGCAGTACTTATATGTGGTATAATTTTCTGTGTTTTTAGTCGTGAGACTTTTGATAAAGTTTATGGACGTGAAGTCATCAGGTGACAGCGTGGAGGAGAAAGCGAGAGAGAGAGAAAAAGATGGCAGGTCGTGCACCTCGTGACCTCGTCGTTAGAAGAACACAACTTCTGCTGTCTGGCAATATTAGTGTTTCTTTGTTAGTGTTTGGTATTTGGTTTCGGAACGGTGGAGGCACAAGAAAACAGTTTGGTGACGCCGTCTGAGTCGTAAGTCATAATTTTAATTAGTCACAGTAATACCGTTTACCAGTACCAGTAAAATGAGAAGACAGTATGACGGTATCAACATTTGGATACTGCCCAACCCAAAATACAGTATAGTGATGAAAAAAACTTTTCAAGGCTAACCCGTGTTTTGATCTGGTCATTACATGATAGGCTTTATTCACTGCAATAAGTGGATAGTGGAAATGATTTAAAGTCAGCATAGACACTATTTTTATGTCTATGACTCATCAATTTTTTTTTCATTCTTATTGGAATACAAATTAATATTTTCTTAGGTCACTCTAAAATGCCCCTTGGAGTGAATGTGAGTGTGTGTGGTTGTTTGTCTCTATGTGGCCCTGTGATGGACTGGTGACCTGTCCCCGCTTCTCCCCCTTGGTAAACTGATATAGGCTCCAGCGACCCCACCCATGAGTCCGTTGGGAAGAAGCGATAAAATGAATGGATCAGAACCACAAAGGAAAGTTGTGGCCTTAGTATGCTGTATTTTAATCCATCATGATCTGACATTGTTCAGAAATGCAGAGTTATGAGAGGAGGAATGTGTGTTATACACCTGTTACTCTGTCTTTTCCGTGTCTGAATAAGGGGTTTAATGATAGCTTTTCTGCATGAGTTCCCTCCTTTAACTCTCCACTGTAACACAACTTTTGTAGCCCTTAAGAGTCGTAGCGCTGGCTGGGTATCAAATCCAGGTCAGCTGCTTGGAATGCAGCTATGCTAACCACTATACCACCAACACCCCGTAACATGCATCAAAACATAGATGCCACTCAAGACATATTTATATGTCTGATCACTTGTGTAGCAGCTGTCGTCTTCCAATCAGAAGATTGTTTGTTCAGCTCACATGTGTCGTGAATTTGTGTGAAGCATGGTGTAGATTGAATAGATTTCTTAAACCATTGTGAATTTTTGCAAGTCTGCAAATGGTGCCATTCAATGCAAGGAAAGCTCTAAAAGCATTGCTCTCCACTCTCCAATGCCCCTTCACATAACGTCTCATCTCCCATCTTGTTGATTTCGTCAGTTTGGTGAAATTTAAATTAGTGGTTCTTTTCACCATCATGTACCGATGTCTATTTTGCTCAGAGGAATGGACTGACCAATGAGCAAGAAGTACACTCTAAAAAAGAACGTGTTGGCTCAACTTAAAAAATTGATGTAACAACTTGCATAGATTTTTTAAAGTTGTTTCAACTTAGTCGTAATTGAGTCAGTGCCACAAGGTTTATCTGGTTAGACAAACTAATTTACTTTAGTACAGGCAACATGATTTTCTTTGTCCTTTACAAGCTTAATTAAGTTGAACCAACTTAATTTTCTTTGTGTAAAATTGACTCCCTTTAGTTCTGGAACCAATTTATTTTCCTTGGATTCTACTAAAAAATGTCTATGCAAATTGTTACCTTATTTTTTTTTAGCAATATCAACTTATTTATCTAAGTTAGAATAAATTACACAATTAAATTCCAGTTGTATGAACAGTTTATTCAAGACTGCATATTGACATTTTAATAGCACAAAACTGTAGCAATAAAAGAAATACTATGAAACAGCCCAGTAAAACTCCTACAGATAACTAACATTTTGACAGTAATGCTGATCAGACTGTTATCTATTATTTTCATCACTGAAAATGCATAATTTGTAACTGCACTATACTATAGGTGAACTAAATTACACACGAGCCCCATGAGCAAGGCACAGGCTCTGGGGATATCCACACCTGTTAACACCTCTGTTCCGTCTATGATGATCCTTGCATGGGCTGGATCCAAGCCACCTCGTGTTGTGACAATCTTCATCAGTTGGTCCATACTGTCCCCTTCTCCATCTTCACTCTAAGAAATTATTCATGGGGTTAGTAGGTATAGCTCAAAATCAAATGCTTTTTCAGCATAAAAAAATGTGTTTATTACATATACACATAATAATGAGTTGATAACTTAATTTAGTAAGTTGGTTTAAATTGAAATAAAGAAAATAGTCTTAACTCAATAATGAATGGATTTTTAACAGACATTTCAACCTTAACTTAACATTAAAAGCTGAGTACACGGCTGACCTGCCTGGACTTGGTTTGCTGTCAGACCATGCTTTTGGGAGGGAAAGGAGCAGACCACATACAAGGATTTAAGACTTTACAACTTTAAGACTTGGTGAGTATAATGTTTTTACTTGTTTTATTCAGCTAACTTTAGCTAATAACTCCATCAGCACACAGTACAAGAAATCGTTTTGCACAATTTTGAATGCTTTTTTGTTTTTGCTAACCATAGGTAAAATTTAAGCTAGAAATGTTAGACTTTTAGCTAATTGGCGTCGTAATTCAGCCATAACTTTAGTCTTTAAGTTTTGTTTTATGGTGAAATATGAACTTTATAGCAGTAGTTTTAACTTTGCGAAGATAAAACAATAACCATTTTGCCTCTTTCAAATTTTAAATTGTCGGGGTGTCACTGAAGTTTTGACCAGCAAAAGTTGTGGGGCCATTGTAGGTTATCATGCAAAGCTACGGTTTGCTCTTCAAGACAGATGCCAAAGGCACAGGAGTGGTCTTAACGTTATTAAGATAGTTGTGCGTGTGTACTTGCCTAATGCCCATTTCTTTGTAATAGGCTAGTTTTAAAGCTTTTGATTCTGTTGTTTGTCCTAATTTCATCAAATTATGTAATTATGTGATGTAATTTTGATGTTATGATCAACAATCCATCTTCCTAGAGGAGTTCAACACTCTTTTTCTTATTCACAGGACAATTTGGACACAAAAGGAGACACAAAAGGAGGCTGCCATCCATGGCTTAATGGTGTACCTAAGGAAAAGGAGGAGCAATTCTTCAAAGATGAGGTAAATCAGACACCACTATACTTCACATAGAGATATATTGTTTTCCTGTGGTTATTGTATACATAAGATTTAAAAAATAACATAGTGAATATATGTTGCATTTTCCAACCCACTAAAAACCCTTTAAAAATTTATATTAATTCTGACCTACTGTGATCAGTGTGATCTCTATTCACCTTCTAAGACACAGAGGGCATTTGAACTGAGACTGTCAACCCTAGCTGTAGGCCTTGTTCAAAATGAAAAAGCACCATACTTTAAAGGGGACATGTTATGCCAAACCAAGTTTTTAATCATTTGATTATGTACATCACATTTGGGACTGTGGAGGGCCTATCAGCAGGCAAAGTGTGAAAAAAAAATTACTCAGTCATATTTTTGTGGGCCACCTCATCTCAATACAGGAGATAAATCAGGAGGTTTCAGGAGTGGGTAGTTTCTGACGTCATTAGCTCTAGCTCATTATAAAATTCCAGCCTTTCACCTGCATGTTGCCCCCCCCCCCTCAGCTTACTCCGCCTATCTGTGGCAGACGTCGTGGTAGCGTCAGCATTAGCGTGCCGACGTGGGCACACCTCCCGGAAAAAGTGGGTGGATTGCCTGTGTCTCATTTGCATTTGAAGAGACAGGCACTCCAAAGCGAGCGCTCTGAACGGGGCTGTTTTGGCAGGGGGATTGAACTGCTATTGGGCTTCATCCTTATGGGATTTTGACCAAAGCTTGTCACAGAAATTACATTAGGACACCAGGGAACTAGTTTAACTTGTTGAAATAGGGTATAATATGTCTCCTTTAAATCTTTTTCCACATGTGGCAGGAAAGGGCCTGCAGCTTTGCCTTCCTCAAATCATTTGCTTCTCTAAACATGGAGAGATCCACACAAAAAGACACTCAGAGGACTTAAGACATCTGACTTTATGGCCCAAGAACATCCTACAGGTCAAGTGCTTGGTAAGAAGCATTTGACCTGTGCATTAGGCACAGTCAAACTACTACCTGAACAGCCCTAGAAATATCAGAAAACAGAACAACTGTTTCAGTTCAGTTTAACATATTCTTGTTTTTTTCCCATATGTTTATTATTGTGATCAAGTATTTTCTCATTGTTCTGTTGCTGGTTCATTAATTCTTGATTCAATAAGAATTCATCAGTCTGCTGGAGCGGTTTGATGGCGCTCGGGCTTGTGGGGCTCGGGTTTTGGCCCTCGTCCTGTGGGGGGCTCTGCCCTATTCCCATGGTGGGTTCTGTTGGGGCGCTCCCTCTGTGGCCATATGGGTGGGGGCCTGGTTGTCTCTGTGGCGGTCTTACTGGTCTCTGTGCTCCGGGGGGGCCGCTGGTGGACCGGGTCTGGGGTCTTCTCTGCTTCTTCCAGATTGCTGGAGCGGGGCCGGTGGTGGCGCCCCCTATGCATGCTTAGCTGAGCACAATCTGGGTGAAACCTGGGCAGCTGGTTCTGCACTACTATGCTTATAAACACACACACACACACACACACACACACACACACACACACACTCACACACACACTCTAACTCATTTCCCCACACACACACCTTTGAGCTTCTGTGCAGTTGCCGTACAAAATTCGAAATATGTCCTATTTGTCATTACTATCAGTGTTGTGGCTGAATTCGGTTTTTGCTGCCTGTTTGTGTGTGTCTCTTCTTTGTTTCCGCTTGCAGGTGCTCCTACAGGTTCTCCCTCGGGTTTGCCATCAGTATTTTTTCCTATTTGTTTTAGTTAGTTTGTCTCTTCATTTTGTTTGTTTGCAGGTGCTTCAACGGGTTCTCCGTCAGGTTTGCCCACCCTGATTACAGGAAAGCTTGGTCATTTTTTTCTCTCTTCCTGTTTTAAGGATCTCTCTTCTTTTCGGCGCGGGTTATTGTTACTTTTTCTCTATTCTCTCATCCTTTTTTAAATTTTATTTGATGTAATGTTTTTTTCCTTTAAAAAAAAAAGTCTTTCTTTTTTTCTCTTTTCCTGTCCCCCGGTCAGGTTTGGAATTAACCAGCTTACTTCTGTAACAAAAATCAATCTTAATAAAATAATAAAGCAGTAATGGATGATCAAGGGAGGCTTCTCTCCCTGACAGGCCTCCCCTGGCAAAGCAAAAGTGTTGGGCAGAGCACGGCACTCAAATTCTGTTGCCTGAACACGACAAGGGGTTAAAAAAAAGAAAAGAAAAAGGAATTTATAGGTTTGTTTGGATATCATTTATTGTATATCTTTATCTTGATCTTGGTTTGCTAACTATCCTTTACGTCCTTTTTACAGGACCTGTGTGATCTATGTGTATAAACTAGGGCTGTCAAACAATTATTATTTTAAATCTGATTAATCACAAGGTTTCTTGAATTAATTTCGATTAATCACAATCCTAAATATTATTGAAAAATTCACATTTTTTTTGTGTTCTGTTTTCAGAACAGAAAGATAAATGACAAGAAGTGGATATTACATTAAGCTTAATGACAAATCTCCAAAAATTTAGCAATTTAGCCATCTTTAAAAAAAAATCTTTAGCAAATACAGGATAGGTGAACGTTTTTCGTTTTAAACAGACAACACAACTTTCAACTTGTCCCTTTACCTTCTATTTATTCATCTTTTAGCCAGTTGCTGAGTCATCACTGTGCCTCTTGACGGTGGCTCTTAGAGTGCGTCTAAAGTTGCCACTTTCAAAACTTCTGCGAGGCCCGTGTCCTCGAAAATACTAATCGGTTATTTTGTCTGTCAGCTTCTCAGACATAGACTTACTTAATGCCCTACGCTCGGTGAGGGTGGTTTGACACAGGCCAGGCATAACACCTGAAGTTTAAGACCCAATAAATGAATGCTTGGTTTTAAGATGATATTTAAGGCTCGAGGTGCTTCTTGCAGTGTGAGCAAACCATAACATGTTTGTTTATTGTTCCATCTTTGTTTTTTTTAAATACTCCAAATGTCCATCCAGCGGGCCAATGGGTTCTTCTGACTCCATGTCGCTCATGTCAGACAATTTAATTATGGGTAAAACAGGACGGGAATGCGTTAATATTTTCAAAAAAGATATAGCGTTAATTCCAGAAATCAATCATCTCGCATATAAAGCAAGCAATCCTATGTGTTTCAAACTTAACCCTTTAAAGCCTGATCCAAGGAAAAAACAAAACAGAAAATTACTTTTTTTTGGTTTGAATTCCTTATTTGGCCTTTTAACAAAATATGTAAAAAGAAAAAACTAAAATAAATTTTTTGATAATAATAATTTATTACTATGCGATAGGTCAAGATTCTTTTTTGTGTAGTCTTCTGCCCCCTATTATCAGGTGTATCTGATTGTGTACAACAGGATTTTGAGCAAAGTTTTTACCATTAAATTATGCAAAAGGTGTCAGACGCAAAACACTTAAGAAACCGTATGTATCAAATATGATACATTTGGCATTACAAGGTTAATTGCGCCGATTAGGTGTGAGTGAGACACATATGATTTATGTGTGTGTGTAAATTGGTTTCTGCTTCTTCCAAAATCTTTGTCAATGATTATCGAAAGATAAACTCCAATAGCTGGCAGTAGCTACACAAATAGGATTCAAGTTCAGTTAACAGCAAGCATTGAGCTTTCTCTAAATATGTAAAAGTGAAGGAGAAAGTTTCCACTGACCTATTGTCAGGGAGCGCAGCATTTTGTCCAAGAATGAACTCTGTTGCCACAACAGAAGCCACATGAATTTGAACATCATCACTTGAACCATGGATACTTAGCAAAGATGCTCCTTGAGACCTCTAGTGTGAATTCATGCTTTAATCTGATGTACAGTTGAACCATATCATACTATTAATATGAAGTAGAAAATCCATTCGATAGTCCACAATCAGTTGATCCTTACATGTTGAAAATTCAAGAGTTTCATATCTGTAGTATTGCTTAAACTACTTGGGCTCCCGATTAGCCCCTAACATCTGGATAGTAGTAATGGAGGTGGACATTATGTAATCATATAAACTGCTCAGAAAGCGTTCACAAAGATGTTTTCCTCCCAATAGAATCCATCCCTCAAAGGGGCCAAGATTTTATTGTGGATTTATAAATCTATAAGTCTATAAGCCTATGTAAGGAAAATGTTTCTTAACAGTGGGTTGACGTCCAGACTGGAATAGTAAACTGCAGTTCCTCCTGGTCAGTATGAGTTAAGGGGAGACCTTCAACTTGAAGGAGACTGCTGAAAGCTTCATCCGACAGCACAGATTGTAAATGAGGGCTGGTCTGATGGTCTGATCTCTGAGGCCATAGATGAGTGCACTCAGACACCTGGGAAGCATGATTAGTAACACATAAAACACATTTTGGAGTCGCAGAAGTACACTTAAAATGACAAGTTTAGAAATCCCAATTAGCAGTGGGTTGTGAATAGTTGAAGAGATGCTGAGGCACAGCTGCAGCAGATGCATCAGCAGAGTGTTACGAGCCTTAAGAGCTGAAGCTTTGTCCGTGGAGGCCGACTTGGCTGCTAGAATTACAACAACATAGGTGGAGCTGATGGCCAGAGCAGCAGAAATAAACAGAAAATAAGTGTAAGATCTGTCGTAGTCATAATAAAGGGGTGTGAGAAACATGGCAACAGTGTTACAGAAAGTCTTCATCTGCAGAGATTCTAGCTCCTCAAAGGGAAATTCTAGCAGTAAAATAACTCGAATGAGCACATTTAGTAAGCAGATGGCCCAAACCAGCATAACGGCCACTGCTGTGTTTCTGATGGTGACGATGGCAGCGTGCCTCAGAGGGTAGCACACTGCCACACATCTCTCCAAAGACATCACCACCAGCACCAGAGGAGACATTTCATTCGCCAGGTTGGCAATCATGAAAAATATCCCACACAGAGGATATGACATAAAAACCCTGCCGATAGACAATATGTACAGTAACTGACTCACTACAAGCTGAAGAGTGTCTGCAAACAGGAGATTATACAGGAGAACGTAGCGGCAGGTTTCCCTGAACACTGGTTTGCTCCTCAGAGTGTACAACATGGTCCCATTAATGAAGAGGAACACACAGCATGGGGCTGTGGTCAGAGTGGTGTACATCACTCTTTCTAAAAACACCAGTCCAACAGCTGTGCTGTTCTGAGGCTGAGGAGCAGTGGACATCACACAGGAAACATCAAGCAGCTCAGAAATGCAGACCTGTGAATTGTTCTGGAGCACAAAACCACCAAAAGCCCACTTCTGTGCACTTGTAAAGTCAATCATATAATTAGTTAGACAGATACAATAAATACATCCTGGGGTCGTTGCTTTGTCAGCTGATGGAGCCTGTGTTTGCTGCTCTGGTTCACCTGCTGTAAAAAACTCAGGAAAAAGCAGTAATGTGCATTAGATGCAACCATACACTTCAGGAAAAATAGGAAGTTGTCTTTCATCTGTTCATTCAAATTCAGTCAGAGTTCTGAAAACAGTTTGGATGTGACATACCTTAAACACACACACTGGAAAGAACTGAGCATGATAAAGACTTTTCACCTGTGAAGACTGTTGTCAGGGAGGTGCTTCTTTCCTGGTTTCAAAAGCTGCTCTGCTTGGCTGACTCTAGCCAGCACATTTCTTATGAGCACTCAGACAGTAGCCCGGTCACATGACGCATCACGTCAGCGTGGTGACCAAAATGTTCTTTACATATATTTTTGCCTGGAGCACTGGTATCGTACATTAGCACTAATCAGACATTTCCTGGGAGGGCAGTTTCTAAAAGATGCTGTTTGCGGACCATTAGTTTGCCAAACTACAATTGATTGATATCTAATCCAATACATGCCACAATTCTGAAAAAACAATGCTCATCAACCACCCATCTATAGATGACTGGGCAAACAATGAAACAAACAAACATACAGGGGTTGGACAATGAAACTGAAACACCTGCTTTTAGACCACAATACTTTATTAGTATGGTGTAGGGCCTCCTTTTCCGGCCAATACAGCGTCAATTCGTCTTGGGAATGACATATACAAGTCCTGCACAGTGGTCAGAGGGATTTTAAGTCATTTTTCTTGCAGGATAGTGGCCAGGTCACAACGTGATGCTGGTGGAGGAAAATGTTTCCTGACTCGCTCCTCCAAAACACCCCAAAGTGACTCAATAATATTTAGATCTGGTGACTGTGCAGGCCATAGGAGATTTTCAACTTCACTTTCATGTTCATCAAACCAATCTTTCACCAGTCTTGCTGTGTGTATTGGTGCATTGTCATCCTGATACACGGCACCTCCGTCAGGATACAATGTTTGAACCATTGGATGCACATGGTCCTCCAGAATGGTTCCGTAGTCCTTGGCAGTGACGCGCCCATCTAGCACAAGTATGGGGCCAAGGGAATGCCATGATATGGCAGCCCAAACCATCACTGATCCACCCCCATGCTTCACTCTGGGCATGCAACAGTCTGGGTGGTACGCTTCTTTGGGGCTTCTCCACACGTAACTCTCCTGGATGTGGGGAAAACAGTAAAGGCGGACTCATCAGAGAACAATACGTGTTTTACATTGTCCACATCCCAAGATTTGCGCTCCTTGCACCATTGAAACCGACGTTTGGCATTGGCATGATTGACCAAAGGTTTGGCTATAGCAGCCCGGCCGTGTATATTTACCCTGTGGAGCTCCCGACGGACAGTTTTGATGGAAACAGGAGAGTTGAGGTGCACATTTAATTCTGCCGTGATTTGGGCAGCCGTGGTTTTATATTTTTTGGATACAATCCGGGTTAGCACCCAAACATCCTTTTCAGACAACTTCCTCTTGCGTCCACAGTTAATCCTGTTGGATGTGGTTCGTCCTTCTTGGTGGTATGCTAACATTACCCTGGATACCGTGGCTCTTGATACATCACAAAGACTTGCTGTCTGGGTCACAGATACGCCAGCAAGACGTGCACCAACAATTTGTCCTCTTTTGAACTCTTGTATGTCACCCATAATGTTGTGTGCATTGCAATATTTTGAGCAAAACTGTGCTCTTACCCTGCTAATTGGACCTTCACAGTCTGCTCTTATTGGTTCAATTAGCAAATAATGACGATTGGCCACCAGGCTGGTCCAATTTAGCCATGAAACCTCCCACACTAAAATGAGAGGTGTTTCAGTTTCATTGTCCAACCCCTATACTTACTAATACTAAGAATACCACTAATATAGTAGGAATCAACCTATTGGGATCTGGTTCCTTTATTTCTGACCATTGCACATAATGAACAGATATGAACTGAGACTGTTGTTGGGGATAGAAATGTAATAATCCAGCATCTAACCAGGAACTTCTTGGCCAGGATGAGCCGGGAGACTAAAGCAACCCAGAGGAAAGTCAGTCAGCCAGCTATTAGTGTTTGAGAAAGGGGAGATGAAACTGAACTGCTCGTCTTTCAAGTCATGTCGACCACACGCCACAGCATTCACATCCAAACTGGTTCTCTGCCTCTTTCTCCATCAGAGGCAGAGGGAAACTTTGTTGTCCTGATTGATGACCAGCTGAGCTTCACAGATCACACTGCCTCCGTTGCTCGATCGTTTTTATTCATATCACTAAACATAAGACAGATCCATACCTGACCCAGCATCCCAGCCAGTTCCTTGTGCAGTCTACGACTCTCTTACCCCTGTACTCCTACTGCTAATTGGTCTTCCAGCCTGCTGCTAAATTTCTGCATATGGTTACCTGTCTGGTGGGCGGCGTGGTGGTTAGCACCATTGCCTCACTGCAAGAAAGTACTGGGTTTGAGTCCCGGGGGACCCATGACCTTTCTGTGTGGAGTTTGCATGTTCTCCTTGTGTCTGCGTGGGCTCTCTCTGGGTTCTCCGGCTTCCTCCCACAGTCCAAAAACCTGCATGTTAGGTTGATCGGACATTCCAATTTCAAATTGCCCTTAGGGCATTCCAATTTGCCCTTAGGGCAACTTGGAGTGAATGTGAGCGTGCGTGGTTGTTTGTCCTTGCATGTCTTGTGTGTGGCCCTGTGATGGACTGGCAGACTGTCAAGGGTGTACCTTGTCTCTCACCCATTGACCACTGGGATAGGCTCTTGTTCTCCACGCGACCTCATTAGGGTTAGCGGTAACGATAATGGATGGATGGATGGTTCACTGAGCTCCTCTGGCTACCCCTGATGTATAGTGCCTTGCGAAAGTATTCAGCCCCTTGAACTTGTCGTCCTTTTGCCACATTTCAGGCTTCAAACATGCACATTTTTGGATAGAATCAACAAGTGTGGCACAATCATGAAGTGGAACAAAATGTATTGGATATTTCAAACTTTTTTAACAACTTGGGTCTGCAAAATTGTTCAGCCCTTTACTTTCAGTGCAGCAAATTCTCTCCAGACATTCAGTGAAGATAAATGAATGATGATAAATAGAATCCACATGTGTGTAATAAAGTCTCTGAATAAATGCACCTCCTCTGTGATAGTCTCAGAGTTTAGACTATCTATTTAGACTCTTTAAAACGCAGAGCATCAGGAAAACCAAGGAACATACCCGGCAGGTCCGAAATACTGTTGTGGAGAAGTTTAAAGCTGGATTTAGTTATAAAAAGATTCCCCAAGCTTTAAACATCCCAAGGGGCACTATCCAATTCAATTCAATTCAATTTTATTTATATAGCGCCACATCACAACAACAGTTGTCTCACAGCGCTTTCCAAACAGAGCAGGTCAGACCCTACTCTGAAGTTAACTACAGAAACCCAACAATTCCCACCATGAGCAAGCACTAGGCGACACAGGCAAGGAAAAACTTCCTTTTAACAGGCAGAAACCTTGAGCAGAACCATGGCTCAGGGTGGGCGGCCATCTGCCTCGGCCGGTTGGGGGTGAGGGGAAAGAGAGAGCAAGAGAGAGAGAGAGGGCGAGAGAAGGACAGAAGGAGCAGAGAGGGGCAGCCAACACAGCAACACGTAGAATAGATTAAAAATGGCAATGATATTAATGCTAATGATGAGCAGGAACATGGGGGCAGCAGGAAACTCCCAACCACAGATCCAGACTCCACAGCTCTAGGAACACCTGCAGGAAGTGATAGGAGGAGACTCCCTACCACAGATCCAGACCCCACAGCTCCAGAGCCAGGAATATCTGCAGAAAGTGTTAGGAAGAGAGAGAAGAGAGAAGGGGGACGAGAAAGCACACGACTACGGGGAAGGGAGAGAGTCCAGTTAGTAACATTGTTAATGGAATGAGGTTGCACCGGGAGGGAGAGAGAGAAAGGAAAGGGGAGCTCGGTGCATCATGATGCATCCCCCGGCAGTCTAGGCCTATAGCAGCACAACCAGGGGTGGACTTACTCTAACTATAAGCTCTATCATAAAGGAAAGTCTTAAGCCTACTCTTAAATATAGAGACGGTGTCTGCTTCCCGGACCCAAACTGGAACCTGGTTCCACAAAAGAGGACTCTGATAGCCGAACGCTCTAGCGCCCATTCTAGATTTCAAGACTCTAGGAACTGCCAGTAACCCTTCATTCTGGGAGCGCAGTTCTCTGGTAGGGCAGTAAGGTACTAAAAGCTCTTTAAGATAAGATGGGGCCTGACCATGAAGAGCTTTATACGTAAGGAGAAGGATTTTAAATTCTATTCTGGATTTAACAGGAAGCCAGTGCAAAGAAGCCAAGACAGGAGAAATATGATCTCTTTTTCTGGTTCCTGTAAGAACACGTGCTGCAGCATTCTGGATCAGCTGAAGAGTCCTAATGGACTTTTTTGAAGACCCTGATAACAAGGAATTGCAGTAATCCAGCCTAGAAGTAACAAATGCATGGACTAGTTTTTCTGCATCATTTTTACACAGGATGCTCCTAATTTTTGCAATATTACGAAGGTGAAAGAAGGCGGTTCTTGAAATTTGCTTAATGTGAGAGTTAAACGACATGTCCTGATCGAAGATAACTCCAAGATTTCTCACAGTGGTGCTGGAGGCCAGGGCGATGCCATCCAGGGAAACTATATCTCTAGATAATGCGTCACGAAGGCGTTTAGGCCCTAGAACAATAACTTCAGTTTTAGCTGAGTTTAACATTAGAAAATTACAGGTCATCCAGGTTTTAACATCCTGAAGGCACATTTGAAGCTTAGCTAGCTGATGAGTTTCATCTGGCTTGATCGATA